AATGTTCTGATCCCTGTGTATGAATCTGTGCCTAGGCCCGTTGACATTGCATTACGATCAGGTTCTTACAATGAAGAATATCGTCATTTTGGAACTCATTGTATTTCAGTTTTCCTGTTCATTAATCTCTAAACACGGATTTTATTTGATGTATTTCGATGTGAATTGATTTTTCTGTATATGGCCGTATAGACTTCACAACGATTAACTATTTCGATAATACACACATAATTTAATAAACATGTAGTTCAAAGCATATAAGTTCACACACATTTTTATTTCGTGATCCTTACTACACTACATGGCTATAAGACTGCGGGTTTACTACAATTAACAGAGTAGGATTATTGAATTATTTATGAATATTCTGAGAACGATTCCAAGCTATTATATTGATTAATTTTTGTTATAGCGGATTCATCGGTTGTAGTTATTTTATAGCTAATGTATATGTTAATTTACTACATCTTACATTTCAATATAACACGATGTTAGCTAAACATACTTTAACGTTGGCGATGCAACGACTATTTCCATTCATTAATAACCGTATATTGTTGGCCAAAACCGCACGCGTACGGATGTTTTCTTTGCCAGAAATATTCTAAAATATCTAGTGCAACGCTTTCCAAAGCCCCTCCATCTAAACACTTCCATATACCTCCAAACACTAAGACCTCAGTTCGATCTAAAGGCGTCACGACACGAATGATTTCGCGCACAAAGCAACAACATAATATAAATAATTAGATTACCTATACCACGTTGTCATGTAGACACTGAAATAGAAAACATGAAAGCACCTTCAATTGTACTTTTATCTGTTATCATGTTTGAATGTGATGGTAAAGTATCTAACACCTGATTCAAATATGTCTAACATAAGAATACGTTTGGAAAATAAATGTTTATGAAAGTCGTTTCGACTAGAATTGTTTATTTTCTAACATTCTTTTAGAATTACGAGATATACATTCCATCATATACAAACACATGCTGATGTAACGAAATGGATCGCGTGTCCACCTCAGAGCCCATACGCCTTTATTACACCAGTTTATCAAACGTTTGTCATACATACATGTATGTCTTCATTTCCCAACATGATGCGCGTCTATATCATTTCTGCGGTTGTGGGCAGTTGGCTATTTTGCCTGTTGCTTCTTCGGCAAGACCCTAAACTATTAATAGGTGTATTTTGTATTGCTAGTGAAAATCAGCTTTGCAAAAGTTGCCAATTAAAAAACCAAAGTCGCTAATTGAGTTTTTAATCTGTTTTTCGATAATAAAAAAATAGTCTACTGCCGTAATGCTGTTTAACAAACATGTAGCTCAATCGATGAAAAACAGTATATCGACATTACTTGTTAACACACGAAATCAACACATACTTCCAAACACTGTTTCACCTTCATGGTAAGTTCGGCGGAGGAATAAATGCGTGAATGCTCGTTTAAAAACAGGGTGAGGGATTGCGATAAAGCGTTGCAGACACATAGAAAAACACACGAACACACATTTCAGCTGTTTCAAAACTACAGTTGTCATATGGAGTTACCCACGGATATTTCACGTTTCGAAAACATTCAAACTTTATGTTCTTACATTATATTTTGGTCAACATTGTTATTGCCATTTTAAAGGTTGGTATTTAACTGGGTAGAACAAATAATACCGTACCTCATTTGCATATCAAACATACTCACTTACATACCGATACATACATATATATCTGTGTGTTTTATACTGCTATAAGCAATTGAGCTGTATGAGAATTGTTTTGGAATAATAGGCTATAAGCCGATTGAGTGAACACGAGTGAAAGCACATAACTTAAGCTACCACATACCTGTAAACCAATCTTAAACAGGCACAGCGTGCCAACTTGCAGCATTGCTAAGAAACAATGACATCAGCTGTGGCATTAGCTTGGTGGTGAAATAGAAACGAGGGATCGCCTAAGATACTACATAGAGCATTATAGCTGTAATACTTATGTTATCTAAGTTGCGTTGCCTAATATGCTCTAAAGTAGACAACGTAACACCTTCAATTTATAGGTTTTTAAAGATCTAGTTGTGAGATACGGCATCACGAGCTTAATACGAGTAAATAAAATATATCTCTAAAACAATAGGTTTTCATATTTCAATTACTTTCAAACGACATGGAGAAATGGTACAATCGTTAAGACTATACCGTTTGACTCCGTATGGTTTAATATGTTGATTGGCCATTTATATCAAACAAGTACTTGACTTTCAAATTGAATGTCAAATTTGATTATATTAAAATTTTATCAAATGACCCCAATATCCCCAGTACTCCTCAGCGGTGTTGTGGTCATCTACTGCACAAAACTATCATTGAACATTGGTCATAGGAACGAAAACTGCTGACTTTTCGGTGATTTATACATGTCAGCTATATATATGTAAAAGGAAGTTTTATTCCGTGTAGCACACATTTAGCATATAATTTGACCGGTTATATATGTCCTGGGGCTTTGAGATCTGTCGCCGTGTACTACCTGTTGACATTTCCCATTCTTTTATTTAGCCGTGCACTTTCCAAATTATTTTCCAATGACTCTTAAAAAACCCGTTATCCCTGTCGAAATTTCTTACGAAAAGCGCTCGTATTTAACGTGCAATTGTACATGAATAAATAGATAAATACATAGAACACAGCATGACAATCCAACTGAATATCTAATTTTGATAGAATGCTTCATTTTTGTAAAATATCTGAAACAGTATATAAAATGTCTAATATACACATAGCATTATTAATATGTTTAATACAGAGGTGTTAAAATGCGAAATCGATTCCTCACCACAGCGATATATTCGGAACGCATCTTTCAGTAAAGGTTAAAATGACGGAGACGATTACCTACTTGATAAATTGGTAATTTATCTATGATAGCCCTGTTGTGTTTGTTTATATAAATATTGTATTTTTTATCGAACATTAAAGACCGCATTCCGTGTGAAAATAAAAAGCAATGGTTTGTTTAATAATCTAGTTCTATAACATTTTTCTAGAAATAACAGTTCAATAAAACAAACATTTTTTTTAAGATATCACATATTAGTTTGTAGGCAATTGTATGTAAAATTGCTGGATATAAAGTATCTACATTATCCCATTTTATCTCAATATATGCTATTTAATATGTTATATGATGTAATCACATATATAGATGTAATTTTAATACAAATATGTTTATGTATATAATGCATATAAGATATCTCATATGAATATGTATATATTTATGTATATAATGCATATAAGATATATCATATGTTTTTGTATATAATGCATATAAGATATATATTTTAATATACCAGATGTTCTATAAAAAATTATGTAATTTAGAATTTACCTTTTTTTCCACTTTTAAATCGATTTTATTGTTTATAGATACAATTGGATTATGCACGAAATTGAGTATTAAAACCTTTACCAGAAGGGAAAAGTAACATTTCAGGCATTCATACAACACATACACAGATATATAAATATAGTATATGCAGTTCATGTTTATGAAAGATACGATAAATTGTATATATATTCAGATATGTAGAAGAAAAATAAAACCTACACAAACATTTACAATTAGAACAGATATAATCTAATTCTTGCTAAGAAGCACACAACTCCACTATCAGTACACACAGTGTCATGCTAACCAGTTATACCATATTAGTATGAATGATATATAAAAAAAAAATGATTACAATACAACTTAATTTAAAATCTTCCATTTCAATATACTCCGGTACACGAGATAACCGATTTATTTGCTTCAATGCTAAGGTTCATGTCATACTCCTTAAATGAATAATAAGCTAGCTTGTCATAATGGCGATAGGTGGAACATTAGATATGTATATTTTGAGGACGATTCCAAGCTATGTATTTTAGACTATGATGACAGTTCTTACACTTTGGTTGTTAAGGATTGTGAGCAATGGCTTTTTTCCTATAGAAATGTGAACTATAATAATAAATTAGAAGATCACTGTTTCGACTTGAGCACTTTGCTGGAATAATAATCATGTTTCCTGTACTTATGGGATGATAATTGGACGGATTTAAGACGAGATATATAACTATAAATAAAGAAGCTTAGAACATTAGAACAATGGTGACTAAATTTCTTTTGACAACATGTTTTGATATCAGAAATAAACACTGTTATTGGTTTTTTTCCTATAACAAAGATCACTATTTCGACCTGAGCACTTTACTGGAAAATATAATCATGTTTCCTGTACTTATGGGATGATAATTGGACGGATTTAAGATGAGATATATGGCTATAAATAACAGAGCTTAGAACAATAATCTGCTTTGTCCCCAAAGCAAAAATCTTGTGTTGCAGTTTGTGATGAAGAGGTCAAATACAGTAATAACACATTATAAGTACCAATAAATACTAGACCTGAACAAGTACATGTAATTACGCTTGAAAACAATAAAGTTCTCCAATTCTTTCGTCAAATATATGTTCACCATCAAAATATGTGCATCACGGTTTCCGACTGAATCCAATTATCCGATTTGTTTATTTGCATCAGTGACAAAAAGCTTACATTTCCAACCAAAAAACAAAACAACATAAAACATACATGCCATGATTCCCTTACTTCTGTTTTCTAGTTGACTGAACATTTAAATGCTTATATTTTCCGCCTAACATATTGATAATTATGTCTGGCCACGTCCGCCAATTCAGCAATATTTGTTTCAAAGAATGGCGGTTCCCTATAACATGACATAAAGTTCCCTAATACATCAATACCCAAACATGTCGGGAAGTATTTCAACTAGTTATGTCACATTTACACGAACACGGGTATAAACAAAACGCCGGACCGTCGTAATATTGCGCTTCTTTACTGCACTGCCGTAAGAAATAACATTACATGAGCCAGTCTGTCACGTGACCTACTGACTATAAAACGAGCAAGTTTCATTTCGATCTGCAGACTTACGGAGCAACTACTGAAGTCCACACTACGTGAGTTCATTAGATACTCAAGGAATTATTTTAAGAATAATTAGATTTCTAACATAATAACGTTTAAACATCTGTATACCAATACGAAAACATTGCAGAGAAAATAAATTATCAAATATACAGATAAGCAGGGTTTTTTCGAAAGAAAACATATTTGTTATACGTGTATCATGAATTTGCAGAGAATATGCATTTACGATGAACTTAATTTGTCACTGAATTTAATTAAGCAGTATCATTTATTTAACATAACACACTGCATTAAGGTTTTCAATTCTACAAAAACGTGTCACATTTCCATTTAAACCATTTTTCATGCATTATTGATACAAATTTCATATATTTTGTCTTTATTTCCCTACAGAAATCCAAAATGCGTTTTGTTATATTGACCGTTTTGGTGGCATGTGCCATGGGCATGGAATTCGACTGTAAGTATCCTTTACCTATATTTGTTATAATGGAAACTCCGCCTGTTAATGCTTACTCTTTTCTGTAATCGTTAAGCCGTTTGTCTAGTAATATGATCAAAAAGGTTTTTGAATGAAGATCGATTCCTAGGTAAACTATTAGTTGATTAATGGTAAAGTTCTATGCTTCGTTGAATGTATGGTTACATATTAGTTGATATTAAGCATTGTCAACAATATTTGACGGTGATTTATAATAAATATCTAAAAACAAAAATCAACTTATATTATTCACATTTGATATTTTTTCAATATACTATTTTGTTTTCTTTCTCACTTAAACCAACAAGTATTTTGTTGTTTTAATACGCCTCCAATCATACTTTTTTGTGTTTTTTTTTATTGTTTTCTTCTCTTTTTGAGTTTAGGGTTACTGGAATAATATATAAACAAAGAAATAACCTATTAGAAATCTGTAAACAGTTCATGTTGACTCGAACATCACTCGTTAGATTATCGCACATGTCCTTTAAATGTTAGTAATTTATGCTGTCATTATCCACGGTCACAGAGATACACAAATATAGACATATTTTACAGGAGATCTGTGTTTGTACTTGATTTAATCATTGTATTGCTTCTGGTTGAAAGTTATAGTCAATAACGATACTATAAACATTAGTCCTAGGCATACATTAACAAAATCGGATACGTTTTTACATCTCATAAAATAAAATAATAAATAAGAGAAGAAAAAGATCAATTAAAAGTCGTCATTCAGTTCAAATTAAATATAATTTCAGGAAGAAATTGTATTAAGCGGTACCATTATGACGTCGACATACGGACCAGATCTTTTAGGGGTATTTTTAAAGCAGTCTAGTGTCTTTGGCATCCTTAAGGAAATATAGCTTTATATACAACCAAAGATTTACCGTTAGACTAAAATTTAAAAAGGACGACTTATCGGAATTACCTCCCTCTAGTATCGGATGGCATTGTTCAATTTAAAGCAGCTGTTATTATTCAATTTTCTATCATACTGTAAATAACAATTTAGTGTTTTCGTTTTTATTAAAAACGCCATTTTTGGAAGAACATGTACGTCACTTCTGTTTTGTTTGCAGTGAAGAATCTCCAGGGGATGCTTGGAGGTCTCGGCGGTATGGGAAACATCGGCAACTTGATGGGACAAGCCAAGAACATGATGGAAGGACTCAACCTGGACGACATTTGTAAGTATACCGGCGACAATGTACAGGGTTAAAAGCTAAAACTGTTTAGTACTATATACGTATTTCCTTTTTAGCGCACTTCAAATTTAAGCGCGTTATCGATTTTAACTGATTGTGCATTGATAACTCGACGCGCTCATAATATATTGATTATAAAATAACATACAGAAAATTCAATTAGCGAAGTTATAATTCAGCGCAATATTTAAATCGAAAAGGCTCAATTAAGATTTTCTCTGAAATTGTAAATATCATTAGCAAGCTAGATATTTTCTCACAGATAATCATTATATATATTTTATACATTCAAAGAGGCGATTCTCTTATACTTTTTATTGATAATCTTAATAACATATTCATCTTTATAGTTTTTTCGGAAATTGGTTTGTTCGGAACCTAAATGATAAAACAGTTTAATTTTTCGAGTTATAACAAAGTGTTCACTAATTCAAACGTTTTGTTCAGCCTCAATGATTAAAGACATCGACCCCGAAGAGCTGAAGGGAATCATCGACCACATGCCTCCACAAATGATGGAGATGGTCGAGGGAATGGGTAAGTCTCGCGTGTTTACGTACTATTCCAGGTACAAGTACACGTCACCCTTTAAATCTTTATTTTCAGTATTTGGCTCATCAGTCATCAATTATTTGGCTCATAACTCTTCCTTAAAATGAAAACAAATTATGGAGGTTGCTTGGTATATCTTTGTCCAGAACAATGTAAATAATGACATTTGCAGAAATTATTTGTCGAAAATATTGTTGATTTTGTCTGAAAAGTCACTTTTGAATGCAGAATTTGAGTGGCGCAAAATTGCATTGGATATTATAATTTATGAAAAAAACTTGTAAATGCCATCCTGAAGTATCCGTGTATTCACTATTATTGAGATAAAGGTAAGAAAATGGTTTAAATCTCAAGAATGAGATTTTCATTTTGAGGAAAAGTTATGAGCCCATCACATACTAATTACACTGACATGAGCCTATTTGAAATACCTTAACAACTATAACAGTTACTGACTTTCATTCATCGTGTCACATGTTTACTGTTTTGTTTATAAATCACATCTGCATATACACGTGTTGGTCATGATGTACATTACACTGATGTTAATGGTTTACTTCAGGAATCTCCAAAGAAGAAATCAGCGAAGCCGCCGCTCACCTGCCAGAGCACGTAGACGAAGTCAAGGGTATGATCGGCGAGGCCCAGAACGGTAGGTTGCTTCGACTTACTCCGTTACACGTTAATATGATAAATAATGTGTAACTATGATATTACACATGACCTTGAAACCTTAATGTATTACTATTTATCACTAAAAAAATGGCTTTTCCATTTTAAGAACAAATGATGTTAAAATTGTTTATAAAGTGCGGAATCAAACAACGATTGAGTATTCTTTACAAAAGCTCAGGTTTTACATATCAGCCTCTATTTTATCAAAATTAAGTATCTCTATCTCATTTTAATTGATGCATCTTTAATTGACGCCACTGTATAGTTGTTGATTAGTGTTTATTAATTAACAGGAAATATCCAGAAGCTGGTGAAGTCTGAGCTCCAGAATATGGGACTTCAGATACCGGAAGAGGATGATATGGGAAACATTATGAGTACTTTGAAAACCCAAGCTAAGGAAAAAATGAGCGAGTTTGGTCTTGACGTCGAGGACTTCCAAGGTTAGTATCTACTCGATGATGCGCATCTTTAGCTATCAATTCAATGTTTTTGATGATTAAAAAATGATGATTGAACATATGTAACTGCTTCCATTTTCTCCCAAATTAACTTATTATCCAACTTGAGAGCTAACCTTGTGTAGCTGATGATCCGCAACTTTGATTATAAATTAAAAGAAAAAAATAGATTGACAACGGAACCCCCCCCCCCTCCCCCCCGATTTTGTCCCCTTCCAAATTAATGAATAATTTAACTTGAGTAGTGATCTTGTGCTTTTGTGTTGACACAAGCGGGTGTATTTTTATCATGCTTTCTAAAACCATGTACTTAGACTTATTTTCACAGGTATACAAAGGATAATATTTTTTTGTAATAAGAGGAAACGGTTTCTAATATTCTATAACATATTTTCCTGCACATCTAGATATCAAATCTGCCATGCCCAAACTGATGTCCGTCCTGCAGAAACAACTGAAGGAACAAGGCGTTGAAATTGAAACAGGTGCGTTAGTGTGTTGTTATATTTACAAAATACGATAGCACGTTTGCTATTAAAAGAGAAAATTTAGGCATAGTAGCTGACATTTCAATGCGAATATACATTTAAGTTTGACATGTATAAATACCATATAAATACAATTAAACTATTACACATTTGAGTCATTTAAAACAGGTGCAATTTACACCTCATTACATCAAAATATTAAAACAGTATTGTATATAACATTGCATCTAATGTGAAGTTCGTTTTTATTATATCATGAGGTTTTTATGTTAACATAAATGTCTAATTCATGACGCTTATTTATTTAACGTTATCTTACTTGTCAGCAAACCCAGAAGGCATGAAAAAACAGCTTGAGAAAATGCTAATGGTACATTTCGAAATCCCAGGTAAGCATTCGAAATGAAACACTTTATATCCTTTTATTATTGATCTGATTAATATTAAAATAAGGATATTTTATAATTTTTTCTTGTACTATTTTAATAATTGTGCACTGCCCATCGATGTATTGGAGGTTCTCATATATATCTATGTATATGTATATGTATAGGGTCAACAAGAGTGATTAGCATAAGTTGAAATAACTTGTTTCATAATTGTTGTAAAATAAATGAAGTTTATATTACATATACATATACTATATAGCAGGTTTTGGTTAATAAATACGATCATATTTAATAATCGGTATCTATCCAATGTAAATACTGATGATTACTCTATCAGATTTTTTGTTGAGATTTAATCAATTCTTCTAGAATTTATTGATTATATTGTATAATTCCTTCTCTTGTAGAGGACGCTTCCCCAGAAGAGATGAGGGCCAGAGTCATGGGCAAGATGAGGGAATACATTGCAGATCTCGGAATCGAATATACCGAGGAGGACATGGGTAAGCTACTTTTACACCAAAATAAACATTTAGGATTGCGATCACTTTAAGTCAACAGTCGATTTTAACTTATACAATACAGTATGTTCTTTTTTCTTTTTCAAAGATCCACTATATTTCTCTTTGTTTAAATTAAAGTTTTCGATTTCACAAGAATCGTTTTAAAACAAGATCGCTCCGATTATCATCTAAGTCTTAAAACTGTCATTGTATTTCACAGAAACCCCAGAGAAGGCAATGAACATGCTCAAGAAGAAGTTCCTTAACACCGCCAACGGTTACGGATTTGAATTTAAAGATGGTAAGTTGGGTCCCTAGCTAGGAGTTTTATTTTTAGTGATCTGTTTCGTTTCTATGCAATATAAGAATCTGGCGCAAATGTAGTTAAAATAATGGGATGACCGAATTGCTGATTCGGTTAAGCAGAAGACGCTTAACCTTCCGGAAAACCTGGTCTTATTAATCTTGATTTTATTTAGTATGTATCGAATGTAAATATTTCCTTTGTTCATTGTTTACTCTAGTTTTATCAATTTTGAGTTCAAATTGTGGTTTTATTGACACTTCAGTGTTCTCTTTGTTTATGTTATGCGTAAAATACTACATGACCTTCATTTGAAATTTAATTAATATATCAATATTTTTTCCAACAGATGCTTCTTTCGACGAGATCAAGGAGGCTGTCATGAGCAAAGTGAAAAACTCTGGAATCCTTGAAAACCCCATGCAATACCTGCCCATGCTCATCAAGGGTTTCAACAGTATCGGCGGGATGAAAATGCTGATGGGCGAGACCGAACAGCCACAACCCCAAATGCAGATGTCTCCTGAACAGATGATGATGATGCAGCAGCAGAGACAACTGATGATACAGAGACAAATGATGATGCAGAGGAGGCCAAGTATGGATATTTTGACGTTTGTTAATGACATGATATGGGGTAGCATGTAACATATCCGATGATATGTCTTGTAGATTGGCCAAGCAAAGATTATGATATAATATTGCATAGTGACATTAAACGTCCATGCATTAGAAACGGGAAGATTATCAACGTTTGCATAAAATAATATGTATGCATAGAAATGAAAAAGACTCATGTTTGTTTCTGCTTTTTCCCCCTTTTTCCTTCTTTTTAAAATATCAAAATAACACGTGAATCAAAATAATTGCAAATCGGAAAAGCTTTGTTGCATCAAAAACCTCTTGGATGTGTCAAGCGATATGTGGCCGTCTTTTTTATAACGATTTTCTTCAATTACAGTGCCCATGAACATGAACTTCGAGATCAACGTTGATGGCCAGAACTCCTACAGGCCACCAAATGCCTTCCCTGCCTACCTGAGAGGTGCTGAGGATGCCCTTATGCATGCTTATGGTGATGACGAGGAGGTTGTCCGTCACGTGATGACTGTACAACAAGGAATTTCCCAAGGCGCTGTTTCCGAGGAGGCCGTCCACGAGCTTCTCTCCGATCTTATGCACGCGTAAGTTCCAATACCACCCTTCTATAATTACTTTTCTTAATTTAACCTACAATCAGCGATGATACAATTTCGTATGTTCTTTGAGAACAAATTTCTTGGTAGACTATTTCACTACTCCTTTTCTAGTATGTTATCACGATCGATTTTTTAATAATTTTGAGCATTTTTGTCTTTTGTTTTTATAATCAGAAGTCTATTAACACTTTGCACTTATTCTCCCATGAATCTGCCGTAGTATGTGTTTATTCCATGTTTTCTGTATTCCTACTTCTTCTCCCGTTTTAGTCGCCTCCAGACCCGTGTCCTTGCTGCCAGGAACCAGATGTTGGAGCAGCAGGTCATGCACGAGCAGTTTGAGACTCGTATCCCAGTCAGCAAGAGTCCCTTCCTTAACCATATCCGCCACAAGTACAGGCACGGAAGGAAAGTCGACCTCGAGTAAAGTCGCCAGCTAAGTAGAAGAGCAAGCCCTGTGTGAATCACACTGGGGCGATTTTAGAATTAATTGACGGCACATTTGTCCGCATCTATAAATATGGTTGTAGAATGAACTTGATAAAAAAATCTCTCGTCGTCAGAAAGCTACGTTATCTTAGCTATCCATAGGGTATCATCATACTTGCCTGTTGAGTGTCATAGAATTAAACAAGATGTGGTAAACAGTAGATAAAATTCAGACCATAAGTAAAGCGATACACCTGTTCTGTGGAGGAAAATGAAAAGACAAATCCATAAAAAAAATGAAAGGATTTTATTGTAGCACCTCACATTCAGTTGTTTTTGATTTCAGAGGGGATGATTGGAATCAAGAACTAAGGAAATATACCTTTATATCCTCAATCACAAATTAAAAATTACACTTTTATAAGTTTGCTTATTGAATGATCTATTGTGATAGGATATCGACCATCATGATAAGATTACCAGGTATTATACCGTTTTTTGCTGGTGCATTCGATAAGTAGGTTTTCGTTATACTTTTGAACGTGCTAATAATTCTTCTGTGCTAAATTAGTTTCAGTTGTTATCTGTTATAAACTTTATGATATTAACTTTATTTATTTTACAACAATTATAAAACAAGATGGAAGAATCGGTAGTAGAGAAAAACTAAAAGGAATTGAATAAGAGTGATCATGATATGATAATAATTAGTACGATACTTGCCAAAAAAGTATTGTTAAAAAGTGATTGGATTCTGTTTTAACAAATCAATTCTCTATAAAACAATTATCTTAAAATCAAATGCCTTCAATTTTTATTAATACACTGCGTATAATTGTGATGCATTTTGGTTATATACACTGTAGGTGTATTTCGAATGAAATGTAGAGTGAGGGCGTAGAGTGAATATAAGACCGTTAAACACATTCAGTTGTCCAGATCTCGAGTGTTATAACATGTTATTCATAATTTATTATACTTAACAAATATATAATATTTCATTCATGATTCATTTTGCTTACAAAATATAATACAGTTATAAAATTCATATTAACGAATATAAATATGAAAGCGCCCATCTCCGTTTCCTACAGAAAACACGTATATTGAAACATCGTTTCAATCATATATACATTGAATTGTAAGGTCACTTAATTACAGACTAACAGTGATTTATTTCAAGCACCAATTGCATATCAAATCAATTTTTTATTTGTTTTGCATTTTTTTTTGTAATATGAAAACTTGAACTCGTACTGTAATAATATTAATTTTTCGTTTTTGTTTTTTAAACTCATGCAAGGGCATGCAAGAATTGATTTTGTGAAGTTCTAGAAAAGAAATGTAATACAATGGTGTCATTTTGCTGTATTACAGCCATCATTAATAATGTTGTTGAATGCATGTTTGAAGTCAGCATGTGATTTCTGGCGATATTTTGATCTTATTGCATTCATACATTTTACATCTGTAATATTTCCGTTTGATTCGTCTACATAATGAAATTGATTTTACATGATATCCAGTGCAATCATCTTCTTATATTTATTTTACCATTTTTTAAAATTGGTTCAAATTCATGTCAAATCTGTTATTTTGTGAAATCGGGTGATAAATTAGATTTGAAATTTCTCCACAGAATGTTTGTAACATGATGATTGTTTTAAATTTGTATTCCCTTCACATATTAAGCATACATAGGGGACTGGCCCAACATGTCGAGTGAAAAGGCGATGAAAATATTTCCAGTGTAATAGTGATTATTCTTTATTAAAGTGGTATTTATGCTGGAAAATCGCACAATTACAGAAGTGTTAACGTTTGATTTTTTTAATACACTAAGAACAAGAATGTAAGGATAATTGATAATTGATTGGATAATTTTTTAGAAATGTTGGATGTTGCATGAAGTAGACAATATTTCACGCTGTCAAATGCATACTGTACTTCACTTACGACATGCCCTAGGCATTTTAGTGATTGGGAATGTTTAGAATTTTGAATGTTATGCCTTCCAAAGTTATCCGTAGACCCTTTTCCTTCCCAAGTCAGTTGGATATTTACAGTGACACAGACCAGAAAAAAGGGAAAGGGAGCGTTTATAATGTAAGGGATGCTTATCAATGTAAAGCGATATGTACGACTTGTAGTTTGTGTTAAATTCATGTTCAGCTTACAAGAGTCTGTACCTGTGGTTCCTGGTGACAAGCCTGCGGACAGGAACACGCTGTCCCTTATTGTACACATGCTGTACCTGTATAATCGTACGTGTATCAAGTGATCCGTTGTGTTTTGTCTCCTACATATTATTATAGAAATGCAATAAATCTACATTGTTATATCTTACCATGGTCTTATTTTGATTTATTTTGGATTTCTAACTTTAATGCCCTAGCGTCACTGATGAATCATAGAAGGACGAAACAGCTGTATGATGGAGCGTAATTCATTGTGTGTGTTAAGTTCATCTTTAAAGGATGTATTGAAATAATGGTGTGCTTTTGATTTTCTAATTACCGGAACCATACTGGCGATAAAGGTCACTCTTTGGTACATGTAATCGGGGAATGTTGTTGATGTAGGATACAATTAAAAAAGAAGATTAATATATAAATATGAAATTCTATAATTTTCCAGATAAACTGATATAAAAGAGAAACTAGTTCGATTGGTCAAACTAAATGGAAAGTGAATGCTTTGAAATGTCACCCGAGTTTTCTTTCCGAATGCTATAACAACCTGACGCATCCAGTTATTATTTGATATCATTTTAATTTAGATTAAAAACAAATATTATAGGGTTAATACTTAGCTAATTGCATATTGACCCAGTTATAAGGCCGATGTCTGTCATATTGGCCCGAGGCCGCAGGACAAGGGCCAATATGACTGGCCGAGGCCTAACATAACTGGGCCAATATGAAATTAGCTAATTATTGAACCTTTTATCAATTAACTATGTAGATATAAAAACAATGAAACAGGTAATTCTTACATGTTTAATCAGAAAATAACTTTTGTTTAATGTTTGTTAAACAATAACAAATTTAAATTGAACATTTGTCACATTTTTATCGTTGTTGTTATTGCGACGATTCAGTTTGGTGCACAAACAGATCATGGGAGATCTTCCTTTTTCTTTTCGGGAATGGCAAGGTTTATAACTATAAATCCTCAAGAGATGGTGGCGCCAGAAAATAATGAGAAGGGAAAACACTCGGAGTCGACTGCGCTTTTAATAGATATATAATAACAAAGCGGGTTTTGCCTTAGGATAGGAGGATACCTTTCGGTGAGTTCCGAACGGTTTACCGGGCGCGTTCGATTACGCGCGTTTTCTCATATTGGCCGAGTTTGTCAAAAGTCGGCCAATATTTTCCATAAAGGCCGACTTTGTATAACAATTCCGATATTGGCTGAGATTGTTGATTATATTGCACGGGCCGTTTATTACATACTACAGCAATATCTACATAGTTAATTAATAATTAGATATAAAACTATGATGAATATAATTATTAATTCATTCACATTTCACTAAAGGTCACTCTTGATGTTAAAGTGTCGCTATACGTATATTGCATTTGTGAAACGTGATCGTTAGATAAATATGTGTTTCTTATATATTTTTTACAGAAGAAAAAGCATCATAGTACAAACAAGAATTATTCAGTTCATACAACAATAACAGAATCGCGATTTAATAAATGGAATGTGAATTCTGCCAGTAATAATGTAGCCGCATGAGTGTAAATTATTTTATGATTGCAAACTATTCAGTCGTAAAATATATTTTTGTTCACACGATCATCTATGCTAATGCAAATGTTGTATCTATAAACTGTATCAGTTTACGATCAATAAAGAATTACGAATTAATAGATAAGATTTGTCCCCAGAAATGACGTATAGGTTTCAGTCATTTCGTTTCGGATCAATCATTCCCTGCAGAGGAAAATGAGGTCGTTAATTTGAAAAGGGGCAAAATGGGGGTATTTTATTTAACTGATTATAGAAAAATTTCAGGTTTCATTTTCAAATTAATAAGCAGCTAGTTACAGCTATATTAACTCTGCTTTATGATATGCTTAATGCTTACCCCCATAGTAAAAGTACCGTTACCTAATCATAATGACCAAAATCAGACCAGAGTACTTCATTCATTTTGGTATTTAGATGGGAAGGTTGCATATCGTAAGGCGATCCACTTCTTGCCTTTCTATTTTTGTAACAATGATAATTTAAAATTTTGAAATGCATATTTTTAAGTAGGGTACACGCGGTCGTAGCAGCCATAAAGGGGTTTTGAAACTCGGAGCTTAAGTTTTTCTGTCACTAACCAAATAAAAAGCATAATTCACCGGGAGATGGATGTTGTCGATTGTTCATGTGGTCGATTTATCTAGTCACCGTATTATGTCTCAGAATCATGCTTAAATGCATACTTTAGTCCAGATCTTAAGATTAAATTAGGTTCAATATCATTTGTACAATATAATAGAAAAATAAAGATTCCATACGTATATTTGTACCAGTTAAAGCACATAATATACCACACAGAGAAAAATAAATTTACGACAAGTATAGTAGGCCTAACATTTACAGAAACGTCAAAGACCTTAACGTGATCATTGGACCCGAGTTGGCACATTGATGCCATTTTTTTTAAACCGCATATGATTTAGTGGGTAAACATGTGATAGGGAAGCGATTCATTCACTAAATATAACTCGTCAGTAGGTTAACCTGTATCGTAGTATGTCATGAATTGTTGGTGCCAGGCTAGAAACAACTCAATACACTGGCCCGTGCATTCTCATGTATATATAGGTACATCAAATATCATTGGTTATAACCAATGAAGTGTGGCGGATTTCGTGACGTTTTCTGTGAAATATAGCATACTTCCGGGTAGCGACCACTTGTTGTACCCCCGAGGCACCGTAACCACCGATAACTTATACATTTCTGTTTCATTCATAATGTTTCCGATCTACTTGGAAGTCACCGCGGGTGACAACAGCATTTCACTGTGAAAAAGGTTACAAAATCAAGTTAACAAGATAGAAATGATAAAATTCAAGAGCTCTCAATAGGACTTACCGGAACCCTAAACGGAACAAATATTTACCATTTAAATTGAAATGCGTCGTGGCTTTTTTGGTCGGATGTCGATATTTCTCCTGATAACATTTCCTTCTAATGGGTCCGTCTTCTTCTTGATAAATGTTTCCCCCCCCCCCCCTCCAAAAGAAATACTTTGTGGTAATGTTCGGGTCCCTGTGTATGGATCTGTCTCTAGGCCCGATGACATTGTATTACGATCAGGTTCTTACAATGAAAAATATCGTCTTTTTGGAACTCATTGTATTTTAGTTTTCCTGTACATTAATCTTTAAACACGCATTTTATTTTATTGATTTTTCTGTATATGGCCGTATATACTTCACAACGATTAACTATTTCGATAATACACACATAATTTAATAAACATGTAGTTCAAAGCATAGTTCACACACATTTTTATTTCGTGATCCTTACTACACTACATGGCTGTTCGACTACGGGTTTACTACAATTATCAGAGTAGGATTATTGAATTATATATGCATATTATGAGAACGATTCCAAGCTATGAACTATTATTTTGATTAATTAACTATTTTTTGTTATAGCTGATTCATCGGTTGTAGTTATTTTATAGCTAATGTATATGTTAATTTACTACATCTTACATTTCAATATAACAAGATTTTAGCTGAACATACTTTCACGTTTGCGATGCAACGACTATTCATTCATTAATAACCGTATATTGTTGGCCAACAACGCACGCTTTCCAAAGCCCCTCCATCTAAACACTTCCATATACCTCCAAACACAAAGACCTCAGTTCGATCTAAAGGCGTCACGACACGAATGATTTCGCTCTTAAAGCAACAACATAATATAAATAATTAGATTACCTATACCAGGTTGTCATGTAGACACTGAAGTAGAAAACACGAAAGCACCTTCAATCGTACTTTCATTTGTTATCATGTATGTTTGAATGTGATGGTAAACTATCTCACACCTGATTCAAAAATGTTGGGATAATCATGATAGATTCGTTAGATATCTGGTATAATTCTCAATCTCGTTTTATATTTAAGAAATGATAAAGATTGATAGTATAAGTGAGTTCATTACAGAGAAATATATAAATACAAAATGTACATGTCTAACATAAGAAAACGTTTGGGAAAGAAATGTTTACGAAGGCCGTTTCGACTCGAATTATTTATTTTCTAACTCTCTTTTAGAATTACGAGTTATACATTCCATCAAATACAAACACATGGTGATGTAACGAAATGGATCGCGTGTCCATCTCAGAGCCCATACGCCTATATTACCCCAGTTTATCAAACGTTTGTCATACATATGTCTTCATTTCACAACATGATGCATGTCTTTACCATTTCTGCGGCTGTGGGCAGTTGGGCTATTTCGCCTGTTGCATCTTAAGCAAGACCCTAAACCATGAATAGGATTTTATATTGCTAGTGAAAATCAACTTTGCACAAGTTGTCATTAAAACAAATCCAAAGACGTTATTTCGAAAAGGAATAAATACGTGTATGCTCATACAAAGGAAAGTAGTCACATTGTTAAGTGTTTGTTTAAAAACAGGGCTCGGTTGTGATAGAGCGTTGCACACGCATAGAAAAAACACGCACACACATTTTAGCTGTTTCAAAAACGTGCATAGCTTCACATAACTACAGCTGTATATCGTATGGAGGTACCCAGGAATATGCGATATTTCACGTTTCGAAAACATTATAACTTTATACTCTGATTTTATAATCTGGTCAACATAGTTATTGCCATTTCATAGGTTGGTATTTAACTGGGTAGATCAAATCCCAAAATAACACCGTACCTCATTTGCATTTCAAGCATACTCATTTACATACCGATATATACATATATATCTGTGTGTTTTATACTGCTATAAGCAATTGAGGTGTATGGTAATTGTTTTAGACGAACACGCATTAAGCCGATTGAGTGAACACGGTCGAGTGAAAGCACACAACTAAAGCTATCCACATACATGTTAATTCATCGTAAACAGGCACAGCGTGGCTACTAGCTGCATTGCCAAGAAATTATGACAGCAGCTGTGGTATTAGCTTGGTGGTGAAATAAAAACGAGGGTTCGCCTAAGATACTACATAGAACATCATAGCTGTAATTATTATGTATCTAAGTTGTGTTGCCTTATATGCTCTAAAGTAGACAACGTAACACCTTCAATTTATAGGTTTTTAAAGATCTAGTTGTGAGATTCGGCATCACGCGTTTAATACGAGTAAATAAAACATATCTCTAAAAAACAGGTCTTCAGATTGCAATTACTTTCAAACGAAATGGAGAAATGGTATAATCGTTGAGACTATACCGTTTGACCACGTATGGTTTAATGCGCTGATAGGCCATTTATATCAAACAAGTACTCGAATTTCACTCTGAATGTCAAATTCGATTATCAATTTATCAAAGGACCCCAATATCACCAGTCCTCCTCAGCGGTGTTTTGGTCATCATTCGAATTTGTTCATTGGAACGAAACTGCTGACTTTTCGGTGATGTATACATGTCAGCTATATATAAGTAAAAGGAAGTTTTATTCCGTGTAGCACACATTCAGCATATAATTTGGCCGGTTATACATGTCCTGGGGCTTTGAGATCTGTCGCCGTGTACTACCTGTTGACATTTGCCATTCTTTTATTTAGCCGTGCACTTTCCAAATTATTTTCCAATGACTCTTAAAAAACCCGTTATCCCTGTCAAAATTTCTTACGAAAAGCGCTCGTATTTAACGTGTAATTGTACATGAATAAATAGATAAATACATAGAACACAGCATGACAATCCAACTGAATATCTAATTCCAATTTTTCCAATGATTTTTAAAAACAAACATTATACCTGTTGTCATACTTGATAGAATGCTTGATGTATGTAAAATATCTATAACAGTACATACAATAATAATACCCAGCATAATCAATATGTTGAATACAGACAAACAAATCAGTTTCTCACCAAAGTGTCATATTAGGAACGCATCTTTCAGGATAGGTTAAAATGGCGGAGACTGTTACCTACTTGATAAATTGGTCATTTATCTATGATAGCACTGTTGTGTTTTGTTTTTATAAATATTGTTTGTTTTATCGAACATTAAAGATCGCATTCCGTGTGAAAATAAACAGCAATGGTTTGTTTAATTATCTAGTTCTATAACATGTATCTAGAAATAACATTTCAATAGAACAAACTTTCTTTTCAGATATCACATATTATTTTGTAGGCAATTGTGTGTAAAATTGCTAGATATAAAAGTATCTACATTATCCCATTTTATTTCAATATATGTTATTTAATATGTTATATGATGTAATCATATATATAGATGTAATTTTAATACAAATGCATTTTAAAGCTGATATGCATTGTTTTAGATAGCTCATATGTTTATGTATATAATGCATGTAAGATATCTCATATGTTTATGTATATGTTTATGTATATAATGCTTATAATATATCTCATGTTTATGTATAAAATGGATATAAGATATATCATATGTTTGTGAATATTTTTATGTATGTAATGCATAGAAGATATCTCATATGAATATATATATGTTTATGTATATAATGCATATCAAATATTTCATGTGTTTATGTATAATATATATATATAATTGAATATACCAGATGTTTTACAAAATTTTATGTAATTTAGAATATACATTTTGTTTTCATTTCAAATCGATTTTTTTTGTATTTAGATACAATTGGATTAGTCACGGAATTGCGTATTAAAGCCTTTACCAGAAGGAAATGGTAACATTTCAGGCATTCATACAACACATACACACATATATAAATATAGTATATATGACAACATGCTTTGATATAAATTGTATATATATTCAGATATGTAGAAGAAAACTAAAACCTACACGAACATTTACAATTAGAACAGATATAATCTAATGCTTTCTTAGAGGCACACAAATCCACTATCAGTACACGCAGTGTCATGCTAACCAGTAACAACAGGTTAGTACGAATGATATAGAAAAATATTCCATTTCAATATATTCCGGTACACGAGAGAATTGATTTATTAGCTTCAATGCTAAGGTTCATGTCAAACTCTTTAAATGAATAGTAAGCTAGCCTGTCATAATGGCGATAGGTGGAACATTAGATATGTATATTTTGAGAACGATTCCAAGCTATGTATTTTAGACTATGATGACAGTTTTTACACTTTGGTTGTTAAGGATTGTGAGCAATGGTGGCTAAATTTCTTTTGACAACATGCTTTGATCTCAGAAATAGACATTGTTATTGCTTTTTTTCCTATAAAAAAGGTGAACTACAATAATCAATTAGAAGATCACTGTTTCGACTTGAGCACTTTGCTGGAATAATAATATTTGTTCCTGTACTTAAGGGATGATAATTGGACGGATTTAAGACGAGATATATAACTATAAATAAAGGAGCTTAGAACATTAGAACAATAATCTGCTTTGTCGCCAAAGCAAAAATCTGACCTAGTGTTGTAACAATGAAGGTTAAAATGGACAAATGTTTGGATTAGTGTTGCAGTTTGTGATGATAGGGTAACAACACATTATATGAACCAATACATACTAGACCTAAACAAGTACATGTAATTACCCTGGAAAATTTCAATAACGTCCTCCACTTCTTTCGTCAAATATATGTTCTCCATCAAAATATGTGCATCACGGTTTCCGACTGAATACAATTGTCTGATTTGTTTATTTACATCAGTGACAAAAAGCTAATATTTCCAACCAAAAAACAAAACAACATAGAACCTACATGCCTTGATTCCCTTACATCTGTTTTCTAGTGTCTGAACATTTAAATGCTTATATTTTCCGCCTTACATATTGATAATTCTGTCTGGCCACATCCGCCAATTCAGCAATATTTGTTTCAAAGAACGGCAGTTCCCTATAACATGTAATAAAGTTCCCTTATACATTAATACCCAAACATGTCGGGAAGTATTTCAACTAGTTATGTCACATCTACACGAACACGGGTATAAATAAAACGCCATACAGTCGTAATATTGCGCTACTTTACTGCATTGCAGTATGAAATAACATCACATGAGCCAGCCTGAAGGCCGCCAAACCCTTCTCCTTCCGTGTGCGGCGAAGTACGGTCTATGCAAACGACACGTAAACCCGTCCGTGGTACCCGGTCGTGATGGATGGTAATATGTCACGTGACTTTCTGACTAAAAAACGAGCAAGTTCCCTTTCGATCATCACACTTACGGAGAAACTACTGCAGTCCACACTACGTGAGTTAATTAGATATTCAAGGAATTATTTTGAGAATATTGTGATTTCTTACATGGTAACGTTTTAACATATGTATACCAATACGAAAACATTGCAGAGTAAATAACTAATCAAATATAAAGATAAGCAGGTGTTTTTCGAAAGAAAAAAATATTTGTTATAATGTATCTTATATGCATTTACGATGAACTTACTTTGTAACTGAATTTAAGTAAGCAATATTATTTATTTATCATAACACATTGCTTTAAGGTTTTCAATTATAAAAAGACGTGTCACATTTCCATTTAAACTATTTTTCATGCATTATTGATACAAATTTCATATATTTTGTCTTTATTTCCCTACAGAAATCCAAAATGCGTTTTGTTATATTGACCGTTTTGGTGGCATGTGCCATGGGCATGGAATTCGACTGTAAGTATCCTTTACCTGTATTTGTTATAATGGAAACTTCGCCTGTTAAATGCTTACTCTATTCTGTAAACGTTAAGCCGGTTGGGTTGTATTATGGTCAAAAAGGTTTTTAAATGAAGATCGATTCCTAGGTCAACTATAAGTTGATTAATGGTAAAGGTACTTTTCACTTGCATATTTGGTGATATAAAAATCATATTTGATTATTCAAATGAGCAGTTTTAAGCTATTTGTACAGGCTCAATGGATAATGTTCAAATTCGTTAAGAAACAGCAAATATCTGGAATAATATACAAAAAAAGAAATAACCTATTAGAAATCTTTAAACAGTTTCTGTCGACTCGAACATCCTTCAAGAGATTATCGCAAATGTATTTTAATTGTTAGTAATTTATGTTGTCATTAACTAAGGTCACAGATATTCACAATTGTAGACAAATTTTAAGGAGATCTGTGTTTGTTTTATATGTACTTGATTTAATCATTGTATTGTTTCTTGTAGAAAGTTATAGTCAATAACAATACTATATACATTAGTCATAGGCGTACAATAACAAAATTGGATACGTTTTCACATCTCATAAAATAAAATAACAAATGAAAGAAAAAGATAAATTTAAAGTCATCATTCAGTTCAAATTAAATGTAGTTTCAGGAAGAAATTGTATTAAGCGGTACCATTATGACGTCGACATACGGACCAGATCTTTCAGGGGTATTTTGAATGCAGTCTAGTGTCTTTGGCATCCTTAAGGAAATATAGCTTTATATACTACCAAAGATTTACCGTTAGACTAAAGTTAAGAAAGGACGACTTATCGGAATTACCTCCCTCTATTATAGGATATCATTGCTCAATTTAAAGCAGCTGTTATTATACAATTTTTATCATACAGTATAAAACAATTTAGTGTTTTCGTTTTTATTAAAAACGACATTTTTGGAAGAACATGTACGTCACTTCTGTTTTGTTTGCAGTGAAGAATCTCCAGGGGATGCTTGGAGGTCTCGGCGGTATGGGAAACATCGGTAACTTGATGGGACAAGCCAAGAACATGATGGAAGGACTCAACCTGGACGACATTTGTAAGTATACAGGCGACAGGTTAAAAGCTCGAACTGTTTAATACTGCATACGTATTTCTTTTTAGCGCACTTCAAATTTAAGCGCTTTATCGATTTTAACTGATTGTACATTTATAAATCGACGCGCTCATAATATATTGATTATAAAATAAAATACAGAAAATTCAATTAGCGAAGTTATAATTCAGCGCAATATTTAAATCGAAAAGGCTCAATTAAGATTTTCTCTGAAATTGTAAATATCATTTATAGATTTATAAGTTTGTAAATAGCAGGCTAGACATATTTTCACAGGTAATCATTATATATATTTTATATATTCAAAGAGGCGATTCTCTTATACGTTTTATTGATAATCTTAATAATATATTCATCTTTATAGTTTTTTTTCCGGAAATTGATTTGTTCGGAACCTTAATGATGAAACAGTTTAATTTTTATAACAAAGTGTTCACTAATTCAAACGTTTTGTTCAGCCTCCATGATTAAAGACATCGACCCCGAAGAGCTGAAGGGAATCATCGACCACATGCCCCCACATATGATGGAGATGGTCGAGGGAATGGGTAAGTCTCGCGTGTTTACGTACCATTGCAGGTACAAGTACACGTCGCCCTTTAAATCTTTATTGTTAGTATTTGGCTCATCAATTATTGGGCTCAAAACTTTTCCTTAAAATGAAAACAAAATATGGAAGTTGCTTGGTATACCTTTGTCCAGAACAATGTAAATAATGACCTATGCAGGAATTATTTGTCGAAAATATTGTTCAATTTTGTCCGAAAAGTCACTTTTGAATGCAGAATTTGAGTGACGCAAAATTGCATTGAATATCATAATTCATGAAAAAACTTGTGTATGCATTCCTGAAGTATCCGTGTATTCACTATTATCGAAATAAAGGTAAGAAAATGGTTGAAATCTTTAGAATGAGATTTTCATTTTGAGGAAAAGTTATGAGCCCATCACATTCTTATTACACTGACATGTGCCTATATGAAATACCTTAACAAGTACTTACTGACTCTCATTCATCGTGTCACATGTTTACTGTTTTGTTTACAAATCACAGCTGCATATACACGTGTTGGTCATGATGTACATTACACTGATGTTAATGGTCTACTTCAGGAATTTCCAAAGAAGAAATCAGTGAAGCCGCCACTCACCTGCCAGAGCACGTAGACGAAATCAAGGGTATGATCGGCGAGGCCCAGAACGGTAGGTTGCTTCAACTCCGTTAAACGTTGATATGATAAATAATGCGTTAGTATGATATTCTACATGACATTGAAACCTTAAAGTATTACTATTTATCACTAAAAAGTTTGGTTTTTCCATTTTAAGAACAAATGACGTTAACATTGTTTATAAAACGCGAAATCAAATTCCGAATGAGTATTCTTTACAAAAGCTCACGTTTTACTTGTCAGCGACTATTTTATCCACATTAAGTATTTCTATCTCATTTTAATTTATACATCTTTAATTGACGCCACTGTATAGTTGTTGATTAATGTTTATTAATTAACAGGAAATATCCAGAAGCTGGTGAAGTCTGAGCTCCAGAATATGGGACTTCAGGTACCGGAAGAGGATGATATGGGAAGCATTATGAGTACTTTGAAAACCCAAGCTAAGGCAAAAATGAGCGAGTTTGGTCTTGACGTCGAGGACTTCCAAGGTTAGTATCTACTCGATGATGGATGCACAACTTTAGCTATGAATTCAATGTTGATAATGATTTAAAATCGATGATTGAACAATTTCTCCCAAATTAACTTATTAACCAACTTGAGAGCTAACCTTGTGCAACTGATGATCCGCTACTTTGACTGTAAATTAAAAGAAAAAAAATAGTTTAAACGGAAAAAACTGATTTTGTCCCCTTCCAACTTAATGAATAATTTAACTTAGTAATAATCTTGTACTTTTGTGCTGACACAAGCGGATGAATTTTTGTCATGCTTTCTAAAACAATGTACTTAGACATATTTTCACGGGTATACAAAGGATATATTTTTTGTAATATGTGGAAACGGTTTCTAACATTATACAACATATTTTTCTGCACATCTAGATATCAAATCTGCTATGCCCAAACTGATGTCCGTCCTGCAGAAACAACTGAAGGAACAAGGCCTTGAAATCGATACAGGTGCGTTTGTGTGTTGTTATATTTACAAATACGATAGCACGTTTACAATTAAAAAAGGAAATTTAGGCATAGTAGATGACATTTCAATGTGAATATACATTTAATTTTGAAATGTATAAATATCATATAAATACAATTAAACTATTACACATTAAAATCATTTAAAACAGGTGCAATTTACACCTCATTACATCAAAATATTTAATAATGTTGTATATAATATTGCATCTAATGTGAAGTTCGTATTTATTACATCATGAGGTTTTTATGTTAACATCAATGTCTCATTAATGACATTTATTTACTTAACGTTATCTTACTTGACAGAGGACCCAGAAAGCATGAAAAACCATCTTGAGAAAATGCTCATGATACATTTCGAAATCCCAGGTAAACATGCGAAACGAAACGCTTTATATCATTTTATTATTGATTTTATGTATATTAAAATGAGGATACTTTATAAATTATTATTGTACTATTTTAATAATTTTGCACTTCCCATCGATGTATTGGAGGTTCTCTTATACATATGTGTACGTATATGTATAGGGCCAACACAAGTGATTAACATAAGCTGAAATAACTTGTTTCATAATTGTTGTAAAATAAGTTTACATTACATATACATATCCTATATAGCAGGTTTTGGTTAATAAATACGATCATATTTATTAATCAGTATCTATCCAATGTAAATATTGATGACTACTCTATCAGATATTTTGTGGAGATTTAATCAATTGTTCTAGAATTTATTGATTATATTGTATAATTCCTTCTCTTGTAGAGGACGCCTCCCCAGAAGAGATGAGGGCTAGGGTCATGGGCAAGATGAGGGAATACATTGAAGATCTCGGAATCGAATATACCGAGGAGGACATGGGTAAGCTACTTTTACACCAAATTAACATTTAGGAATACGATCACTTTAAGTCAACAGTCGAGATTAACTTATACAATACAGTATGTTCTTTCTCTCTTTCAAAGATCCACTTTATTTCTCTTTTGTTTAAATTAAAGTTTTCGATTTCACAAGAATGGTTATCAAACAAGACCGCTCCGATCAACAACCAAGTCTTAAAACTGTCATTGTATTTCACAGAAACCCCAGAGAAGGCAATGAACATGCTCAAGAAGAAGTTCCTCAACACCGCCAACGGTTACGGATTTGAATTTAAAGATGGTAAGTTGGGTCCCTAGCTAGCATTTTCATTAATAGTGATCTGTATCGTTTCTATGCAATATAAGAATCTGGCGCAAATGTAATTGAAATAATGTGATGATCGAATTGCTGATTCGGTTAAGCAGAAGACGCTTAACCTTCCGGAAAACCTGGTCTTATTAATCTTGATTTTTTTAGTATGTATCGAATGTAAATATTACCTTTGTTCATTGTTTACTCTAGTTTTATCAATTTTGAGTTCAAATTGTTGTTTTATCGACACTTCAGTGTTTTCTTGGTTTATGTTATGCGTAAAATACGACATGTTTTTCATTTGAAATTTAACTAATGAATCAATATTTGTCCAACAGATGCTTCTTTCGACGAGATCAAGGAGGCCGTCATGAGCAAAGTGAAGAACTCTGGAATTCTCGAGAACCCCATGCAGTACCTGCCCATGCTCATCAAGGGCTTCAACAGTCTCGGCGGAATGAAAATGCTGATGGGCGAGACCGAACAGCCACAACCCCAAATGCAGATGTCTCCTGAACATATGATGATGATGCAGCAGCAGAGACAAATGATGATGCAGAGACAAATGATGATGCAGAGGAGGCCAAGTATGGATAATTTGACGTTTGTTAATGACATGATATGGGGTAGCATATAACATATCCGATGATATGTCATGTAGATTGGCCAAACAAAGATTATGCTAAATTATGCATAGTAACATTAAAAGTCCATGCATTAGAAACGGGAAGACTATCAACGATTGCATATAATGATATGTATGCATAAAAATGAAAGAATCATATTTTTCCACTTTTTTTTTCATTCTAAAATATCAAAATAACACGTGAATCAATATAATTGCAAATCGGAAAAAGCTTTGTTGCATCAACACTCCTCTTGGATATGTCAGGCGATATGTGGCCGTCTTTTTTATAACGATTTTCTTCAATTGCAGCGCCCATGAAAATGAACTTCGAGATCAACGTTGATGGACAGAACTCCTACAGGCCGCCAAATGCCTTCCCTGCCTACCTGAGGGGTGCTGAGGATGCCCTTATGCATGCTTATGGTGATGACGAGGAGGTTGTCCGTCACGTGATGACTGTACAACAAGGAATTTCCCAAGGCGCTGTATCCGAGGAGGCCGTCCACGAGCTTCTCTCCGATCTTATGCACGCGTAAGTTCCAATACCACCCTGCTTTAATTACTTTTCTTAATTTAACTTACAGACAGCGATGATACAATTTCGTGTGTTCTTTGAGAACAAATTTCTTGGTAGACTATTTCACTACTCCTTTTCTAGTATGTTATCACGTTCGATTTTGTTTTTAATTTGAACATTTTTGTCTTTTTATTATGATCAGAAGTGTATTATCACTTTACACTAATTCTCCCATGAATCTGCCGTAGCATGTGTTTATTCCATATTTTCTGTATTCCTACTTCTTCTCCCGTTTTAGTCGCCTCCAGACCCGTGTCCTTGCTGCCAGGAACCAGATGTTGAAGCAGCAGGTCATGCACGAGCAGTTTGAGACTCGTATCCCAGTCAGCAAGAGTCCCTTCCTTAATCATATTCGCCACAAGTGCAGGCACGGCAGGAAAGTCGACCACGAGTAAAGTCGCCAGCTAAGTAACGGAGCAAGCCCGGTGTGAATCGCACCGGGGCGATTTTAGAATTAATTGACAGCCCATTGGTCCGCATCCAAAAATATGCTTGTAGAATGATCTTGATAAAAAAAATCTCTCGTCGTCAGAAAGCTACGTTATCTTAGCTATCCATAGGCTATCACAATACATGCCTGTTGAATGTCATAGAATTAAACAAGATGTGGTAAACTATAGATAAAATTCTGACAATAAGAAAAGCGATACACCTGTTCTGTGGAGGAAAATGAAAAGACAATTCCATAAAAAAAAAATATGATTTTATTGTAGTACCTCACATTAAGTTGTCATTCATTTCAGTGGGGATGATGGGAAGCAAGGCCTAGGGAAATATACCTTTATATCCACAATCACAAATTAAAAATTACACTCTTATAAGTTTGCCTATTGAATGATCTATTGTGATAGGATATCGACCATCATGATAAGATTACCAGGTCTTATACCGTATTTTGCTGGTGCATTCGATAAGTAGGTTTTCGTTATATTTACTTTTGAACGTGCTAATAATTCTTCCGTGTTAAAATAGTTTCAGTTGTAATCTGTTATAAACTTTATAATATTAACTTTATTTGTTTACAACATTTATAAAGCAAGTTTTATTTAGTTGTTCACTATTGATGGAAGCATGAATGTGGTATTGATGATTTATTTATTATCATATTGCTATGAATTCAAAGATGTAATCAAATAATGAATATGAAACATATAGTATATATCTAATAATCAGATACAAAGCTTTACGCTCCTTATACATTAAAACAAAGTATTCCAAACTCCATCTTTCATTATCGGTGAATAAATTTGTAACTAATTATCAACGTTTCTGATATGGAGAATGTTTAAAAAGTTTTGATATGGAAAGAAATAAGAATTAATCTTGTCAAATTTAGACTTTTTATTTCGCTCCACCACCGATTGAAGTATCGGTAGTAGAGCAAAGTTAAAAGGAACTAAATAAGAATGATCATGATATTACAATTAATAGTACGATACTTTGCTAAACAATTATTGTTAAGAAGTGATTGTATTTTTTGTTAACAAATCTAGTTTGTATAAAACAAACACCTAACAATCAAATGCCTTCCATTTATATTTATACAATGCGTATAATTGTGATGCATTTTGGTCATTTAAACTGTAGGTGTAATTCGAATGAAATGTAGAGTGAGCGCGTAGAGTGAATATAAGACCTTTGAACACATTCAGTTGTCCAGATCTCGAGAGCTATAATATGATTTATTATACTTAACAAATATACAATATTTCATTCATGATTAGTTTTGCTTACAAAATATAATACAGTTATAAAATTCATATTAATGAATATAAATGTGAAAGCGCCTATCTCCGTTTCCTTCACAAAACACGTATATTGAAACATCGTTTCAATCATATATACATTGAATTTTAAGGTAACTTAATTACAGACAAGTAGTGATTTATTTCCAGCACTAATTGCATATCAAATTAGATGTACATTGTATGTTTCAGAATTGGTATGTTAATAGTTCGTTTCCGATTTAAAACAGAGTTTGTATTTTGTAGAAACTGTTCTTTTGAACCAATGAAAAAAACCAAGACAGCAAAGCATTCAGTCTGAAATATACAAGTCCAAAGATGTGGTCAATACCAAAACAATCATGAAGCAGCTTTGCCCAAGAAAAATAAATTGAAGACGGTTCAATAATCTATATATAATTGATAGAGATAGTTGTTTACACACAATTTAGATTAAATCATATATACATTGAATTGTAAGGTAACTTAATTACAGACTAGCAGTGATTTATTTCCAGCACCAATTGCATATCAAATCAGATGTACATTGTATGTTTCAGAATTGATATGTTAATAGTTCGTTTCCGATTTAAAACAGAGTTTGTATTTTGTAGAAACTGTTCTTTTGAACCAATGAAAAATACCAAGACAGCAAAGCATTCAGTCTGAAATATACAATTCCAAAGATGTGGTCAATACCAAAACAATCATAAAGCAGCTTTGCCCAAGAAAAATAAATTGAAGACGGTTCAATAATCTATATATAATTTATAGAGATAGTTGTTTACACACAATTTAGATTAAATCATATATACATTGAATTGTAAGGTCACTTAATTACAGACTAACAGTGATTTATTTCCAGCACCAATTTTCTGTAATATGATTTTTTTTTGTTTGATTCATCTACATAATGAAATTGATTTTGCATGATATCCAGTGCAATCATCTTCTTTTATTTATTTTAACATTTTTTTAAATTGGTTCAAATTCATGTCAAATCTGTTATTTTTTGAAATCGGGTGATATTTTTTAATGATTGATCACTTAGTTTGTATACATTGGTCATTGTTTAGTTTTGCAATTTCTCCACAGAATGTTTGTAACATGACGATTGTTTTAAATTTGTATTCCCTTTACATATTTAGCATACATAGGAGACTGGCATAACATGTCGAGTGAAAAAGGTGATGATAATATTTCCAGTGTAATAGTGATTATTCTTTATTAAAGTTGTATTCATGGGTCCAAATGCTGGAAAATCGCACAATTACAGAAGCGTTAACTTTTGATTTTTTTCCATACCTTAAGGACAAGAATGTTAGGATAATTTACCGTTTTTTACATTATTTTTAGAATTTTGGATGGTGTTTCACGCTGTCATATGCATACTGTACTTTACCTTCGACATGCCCTGGGCATTTTAGTGATTGGAAATGTTTAGAATTTTGAATGTTACGCCTTCCAAAGTTATAAAAAAAAGTCATAGACCCTTTTCTCCCCCAAGTCAGTTGGCTATTTACGGTGACTCAGACCAGGAAAAAGGGAAAGGGAGTGTTTATAATGTAAGGGACGGCTATCAATGGAAAGCGATATGCACGATTTGTAGTTTGTGTTAAGTTCCTGTTCAGCTTATAAGAGTCTGTATCTGTGATTCATGGTGACAAGCCTGCGGGCAGGTACATATATTATATACTAATTGTCAGCCTTAGGTATACAAGGGTATCACTTGGACCTACAAAGGTAATACGGGTGTAGTGCTTCAGGGCTTATATATACAAGTTATATCATAAAGTCCTGTAGTAATCTGTGTATTACGGAAACAGAACTTATCACTGTCCCATAATACACATAAATGTATGTGATCTGCCCTATAATACACATACTATATGAGTTGTCGTGAAACGATGCCCAAACAGAGTACAAGAATATCAGTTTAACCTATTCCCAATAATGATTGAAATGTTTCCATATTATATGACTTGAAAATCATTTATAATTAGAATTTATCATTTATAATTAGAAATTATAGTCCATTAATTGTTTTCCATATAGCAGGATACATTAAATTTAGATATGACTTATTTGGACTTATCTATATATAGAAAATAATGCTGTCAATATCTCGTCTTTAATGTGCGGAATGTTGGAATAATAAACCTAAGTGGTTCTAAATGATCATATTGTACACGTAAGTATATTTGTTTAACAAGGTATATACCACTGATAAAGTGTTAACTCCATATGGTAACTCGAATTCATGTATGCTTGGTATCAATTGTGTGCTACAACAATCATAGTAGGATACACATGTTTATTATTATTTATTACGTAGTTTATTTTCGTTAATTAATGATAACTTTAAGGACATGTAGAACAGACTGATACTAAAAGTTAATACCTTCTGCTATATTTACCTTTATATCGTACAAACAAACTACTGATACTGTAAATCAAATTAATATTAAATGTTAAACATGCTGTGAAATCACTAATTTTCGTTTTGTTTTTTTAAATTTTGCTGATTCATGGGTAATCTTCATCCACGAATTCATAGGTCCACAAAGTAATTACAAGTCTGATATAAAGTAACTCTCCGTTTGAGTGGGTATTTGTGATCCAAGAGATCATGTACTCACGAAGTGGAATTTATCCGAGAAACAACGAACTTTGGGTCCCACGAAAATATCTGATTTCACTGTACTACTTTAAAAAGAGCCCGTGACTACAATTCCTTAATGTACAGTTTTACCTTTTTTGCTGTCGGGGTTCCTTTCCTGGTCTTTAGGGTCTAATGTTTTTTTGTTGACGATATCGGAAAGCTGGATAGTTCAGGTCTACCTTTACCTCGGGGTTAAATAAAAACAGTCGCCATTTTCATGAACAGTGTGTAACTTCCTGATTGCTAATATGATTGAAATATTGATAATGTTGTTAAATGATTTTAATTTAGATTTTGTTTAATTCAGAGACATTTTTAAATCGGTTACTGTGATCTATTTTTGAATATTTGACGTAGATGCCTGAAAATTTCCATGATAAAACATGGACAAGAAACATATTGATGATTTTGCCTCCGTTTTTTTTTTTATTGTCTATTTACAATCTTAAGTTTTATTTTTAAAAAGGACGACAGAAAAGATATGCGTCTATAGCAGGTGATAGGATTCATTCATTAGCGTCTTCGAGAACTTTGATTTTGGAACATATCAAAATCCACTCGACATCTTCGAGTCGTTTGAAACGAGATATACATAAAACCACATATTCTGCATGCACGTCGCAATCGATAGAAAATGTACGTAATAATGCACTCGTTTAAACTTTATTGCCTACTTGTCTCGACAGTCTGGAACTGTCTGGATTATAATTGCTGATATCAGTAGGGCTGGTTTCACACGTTCACGGTATATTAACAGACGGACGTTGGTTGAAAACAATTTTTCTTTCTTGCTTGGTGTAATTATAACTTTTGACATCTGAAGCTTATCAAACAGTTAACATATAATGTTTGTGTTTTGTATATCATGCGCGAATAAAGGGTATTTTGTTTAGATAGTATTTAAAGTGAGTATGTTTACCATTTACTGATGAACGTATGTTTACATTTGCCGTATTCATATTATTCCTGTTATGCGAATGTGCTATGCTTTTTGTTGTACACGTACGTAAACATTAAGTTATTGTTTGATAGGTAAGCAATGTCGTACGCTGGGCAAGTGTTTGTATCACATTTCATTTGATTTCTTTACATGTATCAAAGTGAAGAAAATGACATTTCTGATTTGATAACTACTGGTAGTTGTTAAAACATTCTAGCGTCTTATTCTCCGTATGTATTATATTATATGACTGTCACATACAATTTTCTAGAAGATAAAAAAGGCAATTATTGTGTATCCTGGCTTTGTAGTACTTGTCTTTATTCAACAAGTAGGAAAGCTAATGAAATGGGATAAACGCTGTCCCTTATTGTACACATTCTGTACCTGTATAATCGTGCGTGTATCACGTGATCCGTTGTGTTTTGTCTCCTTCATATTAATATAGAAATGCAATAAATCTACATTGTTATATCTGACCATGGTCTTGATTTGATTTATTTTGGATTTCTTACTTTAATGCCCTAGCGTCATTGATGAGTCATAGAAGGACAAAACATCTATATGATGCAGTGTAATTCATTTTTGAAAAACCTGTGTGTGTTAATCCTTAAAGGATGTATTAAAATAATGGTGTGCTTTTGATTTTCTAATTACCGGAAACATACGGGCGATAAAGGTCACTCTTTGGTACATGTAATCGGGGAATGTTGTTGATGTGGGATATAATTTGAAAAAAAGATTATTATATAAATATTAAATTCTATGATTTCCAGATAAACTTACATAAAAACAATACTAGTTCGATTGGTCACGCTAAATGAAATGTAAATGCTTTGAAATGTCACCCGAGTTTTCTTTCGGAATGCTATAACAACCTGACGCATCCAGTTATTATTTTATATCATTTTAATTTAAATTCAAAACAAATATTTAGATATAAAAATATGATGAATTTAATTATTAATTCATTCACATTTCACTAAGGGTCACTCTCAATGTCAAAGTGTCGCTATACATATATTGCATTTTGTAACGTGATCGTTTAAGATAAATAAGTGTTCCTTTCATATTTTTATATACTGAAACAGAAGAAAGTGCATCATTCTACAAAACAAGAATTATCCAGTTAAAAACATTAGTAACAGAAACTCGATTTAATTAAGGGAAAGTTTCCTGGCAGTAATAATGTTGCCGCATAAGGGGAAATTATTTTATGAGAGCAAATTAATCAGTCGTAAAACATATTTTGCTCACACGATCATCTATGCTATTTGTAATTTGGGTAATATTTGTAATACATCACATGTTCATTGTTAGCACTAGTTGAGGTGTCTTTTGTAGTGTGAACTTTTGACAAATTTCAAAATATGTGACATCATTTACTAACGGAATATTTTCACAATGTATAATGTACCAATGTCGATACTGTACCAGTGACATTTCCATGTATACATTGTACGTTACAACACCACAGAAAACCGTATTTGTTTCTGAAGGAGCTAGAGAAGTAAGACCAGAAGCGCTGTATTCTTGATTGAACCTTTTCCTAGTTTTATTTATTGTAATATACTGTATATGGGGAGTGTTGATGCAATTAGGCATGGATGTATATATGCACTTTTTCTCATTTTGAAAATTTCTCGCTGTTTGATGCAATAAACCTGTCCACTACTAATTAATCCAGTACCTTCAAAATCTCACGAGTCCGCTACCTCCATAATCATGGTCAACCAATGTATTAACACAACGCTGTTCCATAGGCCTATAAGTTTCAATTATCTTAACCCGTATTCTCTAGATATATTTTTTTCAGTCCAGCGCCTTATTCTCCACGGATGCACCCTCTTATTATACATCATTAACTCCTCATGTTTATAGATACTCTTTACCAAAGAGGAGAAACCCACTTTATTAAATCCTTTCATCAATACTTACAATATAAACTTTATCTATTTTACAAAAAATATGAAACTTCAACTCATAGTTATCACTCTGTTGGCCCGGGTTTTTAACACGCGAGTAAAACCGGTATACCCGTAGAACGAAACAAAGTGTTAAGGCAGGTGACCCATACCTTGTCACGCCCAATCAGGGAATCGAACCCCGGTCTCATTGGTGTAAGACTAGTGCGGTTATCCAATTCGCAAACCAATCATCCATACTTTTTAAACTTTATCACTTTATACGCGATATTGTGGTATTTTACCGGATTGTTTGTCATCAAGTATGATATTTCCCTGAATCGTTCAATAATAGTCACTTACTGTAGTGTCACCAGTGTGACAGTAGTTTAAATGTTGTAAATATCTTGGAGTAGTCAAACACATGTTTATATTTACATTTGCATGGCATTGTCACTATATAGCCTCTTTGAAAGCTGTGTCGTTGATGGGACTTTAATCACCATGCAGCACGAGACACAATGCCTAGCGTATTAATTCAACATTGACTGGAACTACGATATACAATGTAAATAAACATGATGGCTGCTGAAATATCGCTGGCATTGTGAGACTTGACAATGTCATTGTAAATTTATGAAGAAAATAAAAATAAAACTGTTATTACAACAAAAACAAGACCAATGTCTACAATATCGTACTAAATGCACATCGGTTGGAATCACCAATTCCGGCAATATGGTAACAATTTTAACACTCATTCAATTTATCAGAAATATCGTCTGTTACACTGCACTGATCAACAGGGGTTTTACAAATGTCT